CCGTCTGCCTGTTCTACTCCCCACTCTGTCTCTGGTGAATCCTCTCACCCCTTGCATCTCTGGCCTGTGCCCAGCTCTTGTATGCATAAATAAACAAATCTTTAAAAAAAAAAAAAAGTGAAAAGAGGGCCTCCCTGGTGGTGCAGGGGTTAAGTCTCAGTGCTATCAAGCTATCTCCAGCTATTATGGCATGAGTTTGATCTCTAATCTCTGGGCAGAGAGCTAACCCACATGGTGCAGCAGACCTCTCCTATCTCACCTGCTGCTCCCCTCAGCAGTATATTTTAGTAGAACCTTCTGTTCTGCTCCCCACTCTGTCTCTGGTGAATCCTCTCACCCTCAGCATCTCTAGCCCACACCCCAGCTCTTGTATGCATAAATAAATTCAATAAATCTTTAAAAATAAAAAAAAAGAAAGTGAAAAGACAACCCCTAGAATAGGGAAAAGTATTTGTTAATCATGTATCTGATAAGGGATTAAATCCAGAATGTATAATGAACTCTTACAACAACAATTCCAAAAACCAAGCGAAAAATGGGCAAACAGACATTTCTCAAAAAAATATACCAGTGGTCCTTAGCACATGAACATATGCTCTATGTCTTCAGTCTTAGGGAAATGCATATTAAAACTACGATGAGATACTACTTCACACCCATTTAATGGTTACTATTCAAACAAAAAAAGAAAATAAATGCTGGAAAGAATGTGTAGAAACCAGAATCCTTATGTATTGCTGGTGGGGATGTAAAATGATGTAAAATTATGCAGCTGGTGTGGGAAACAGCTTGGCAGTTCCTCAAAAACTAAACACATAATTACCTTATAATCTAACAATTCCACTCCTAGGTAAATACCCAAAAGAATTGAAAGCAGAGACTCTAAGAGATTCTTATACGTCAATGTTCACAGCAATATTAGCAGCTAGAGGAGGTAGGAAGAAAGGCGAGACTAGAGACTTATTGTTTAATGGGTACAGAATTTGTTTGGGATAATAAGATTCTAGCAACACATAGTAGTGATGGTGGCACAACATTGTGTATGCCATTTAAACCGCTGAATTGGATGCTTAAAACAATAAATATTTTTATGGTATGTATATTTTATCACCATTTCAAAAAAAATGGTGGGTTGATTATTCATCTCTCCCTCTAAATTTCAGTCCAAACTCTTGGAAATGACTGATGTTTGAAGAAAAACATTATCTTCATGAGAACACTAAAGAAATGAGAAGGGATTGTGGTAGATAAGTTCTTTCAACACACCACATCCAACACATTTCTAGCTTGCTTACTAGTATTAGAAAGCAAAATAGTTTTAATTCCCAGAATGCCTTGAAATCAGAATTTTATCTGCAACCCTAGGAGACACATTCCTCTCATCCGAGCTAAGCAGTGGTTGATGCAGCAAGGGAGTTTTCATTTTCATTGGACTAGTTCCAAGGTGTGGACATTTTCCCAAGGCTATTTTGTTTCTTGGCAACGGAGAATAAAGTTTAATCCCATGTCCCACCTGGAAGTTATCCTGTAACAAGTGCCTTTTCTGTTTAAATTAGCTGGAGTGGAATCTGTCATTGTGTTTTTTTTTTTTTAAAAAAAAGTGCGTATCTCCAAGGACAGGAACAGGAAGGAATTATCTCTAACTTCTGAGGAATTAGCATACTAGAGGTCCTGGGGAATGTGCTGAGAGTATGGCTGAGCTGATGCCAGTCTTTTTTTTTTTTTTAACGTACAAACAGCTGGCATTGCTTGTGCGTTAAGGTAGACGTTTCAGATGGCCAAATGAAGGGAGTTCACTTAGTCTACCTTAATGAAGCTTATATCCTTCTCATACTGACCAAGACACTGGCAGCACAGACTGAGGTGACATTTTCAGATCAGACCCATGCCATTGTGAGCAAACAGGGCAAGAGTGAGAACCCTGGTCAAATTTTTTCTGATGACTCCAATAGAGCTGCTGGTGACCCATCTTGCTTTCTCTTGGGCAATGAGGCAAAAGTTGATTGTCTTAATTACTGAAGCGCACTAGTCTAGTGACTGCTAACCAATGATCCTCCCTTGTACCTTCACCCCCCACACACACACCTATCACAAAGATATTTTTCAGTCTTTTTCAATCCTCATTCTTTTGGTCTCTGATCATTGATGTCTGTGGTTTTCCTCCTTCCTCTGCTCTTTTGCTAATTCTTTCTTCTTTCTCATTTTGCTTCCTCCTTGTGGTTGTCCTCATATTTGTTGTATCTCTTTGCTTTTCTGTATATTTCCTGATGAACTCATCTACTTTGGTGTATTATCTATGACCTCAATGTAGACGACTTCAAATATTTACCTGCAGTTTTGCTATAGTACCTTCCAGTGTCCAATTTCCCTAGTGTTCTATCTCTTTAAAAATTTTATATAAAGGTCACATCGGTGAAAAGATTGTACATCGAAAGTGACTAATTGAGGACCATTTAGTAAAGGAGAGTATTAACAAACCTGTAAGCAAGGTTTAGGAGAATAAAAAAGGAATGGTGTCTTCAAAGAGAAAACATAGACAAAAACACCAAGGATTGAGTTTGGGTAGGAAGTTTTATTATATGGAAGGGGACCAGATCTGCCACACCACCAGGCGAGGGGGAGAGGGGGAGAGACAGGTAGTAACAGGTGAGGAGAAACATGGCAGTTCCTTTTAAATCAAAATCTATCAATCTTAGGAACCTGAAGCCTCTCTATGTTGATGATTACCTGGTTCCTGGTAGAGTTTACCTGGTTAGGTGAGACTTTGCTAGGTACCTGGAGTTGATTCCAAGCTATAAGCATGGAAAGCTCACATAGGAATTATGTTTTCAGGTAACTGCTTCCCCTGGGAGGTTCTGGGCAGGGGATGTGGTGATCAGAGGTTCCATTGGTTATGTGAATTGTACAAATTGACATTATGTTGTCAGGTCTGCAACAGCATCCATAGTGTAGGTGTCAGGCCAGGGTTTCTCAGTTAGTATGCTGGTGCTACCAAGCCAAGAGTGATTCCTACTTCATGCCTGAAGGAACAAGGAACAACAGTGATTACAAGAAGCCCAAAAGAGTAATGGTAAGAAGAGCCTCCTGCTATGAGATGTGGCCTTTGGTAGAGACATAAACAGTAGCAATGGGAGTTGAGCAAATAAATCATTGGGTCTCACTCTCCTTTGCTTTTCAGTCTCCAACAAAAAGCTTCAGAGAGCAATCCTATTGCCCCAGTCCTTGTTGGTCAGCTTTCTGGGCTGAAGAAAGGGCCAAGAAGTGTAGGGACACAAGGAAAAGAAATAACGGACCCCATCAGATCTAAGGTCTCTTCTTGTCTCGCCTTCAGAAATCTATACCTTTCGGCCTCCCTGGTGGTGCAAGGAGTTAAGATGCCACCTATGAAGCTCTCTGCAGCTTCTGCAGCATGAGTCTATCCCCCCTCACCAGGCCAGGGAGCAACCCACATGGCGCAGCAGACCTCTCCTGTCTCTCCTGCTGCTCCCTTCAGCAGTGTATTTCACTGGATCCACCTGTTCTGTTCCCCTCTCTGTCTCTGCTGAATCCTCTGTCCCCACATCTCTGGCCTGTATCCCAGCTCTTGTATGCATAAATAAATAAATTTAAAAAAAGGAAACTACATTTAAAAAAAAATTAGGCTAGGGGACAAATCAAGAGATTTGCTTTCGGATTTAGTTGGGGAGATGAAGCGGGGAACAGAACAGGCAGATCCACTGAAATACACTGCTGAGGGTGTCATAGGGCAGCCCCGATACAAAACGGGGGTGCCTGACTGTGGGTCCTCACCCGCGCGCTTAAAAGGACTTATCAATGCTCTACTGTAGGCACACGTGAAAGGTTAATAAAAGGTTTATTGACAAGGGAAGGGCAAATGAGGAAATGTACAGCTCAGGGAGAAAAGTGGGAGACAAAGTTTTAAATGAGTCCTACCCGATCCGCTGATCTGGAACCCCAAATGGCACTCTGAGAGCTGGCTGCAAGCCAGGGGCCGTGAAGCCAGGAGGCAAGCAACAGAGAGTCAGCCCAATTCCCACGTGTTTGGTTTTTATACCCAACCTGGCTGCTTAACTCCACCCTCAGGTCCCAGCCACCCTCCCTTTGGTGGTGACAGGATTTGTCTTTCCCAATGTCTTGATGGCTTTGGTCTGGAGTGGGGGTGGGGTCCACAAAGCCTGTATGGGATTAGCGCAGGACATCCTTTCCCCCTAACAAGAGGAGCAGCGGGCCAGCCAGGAGAGGCCTGCCTCGCCATGTGGTTCGCTCCCTGGCCCATCGGGGATGTACACGTGTTGCAGAGGCTGCAGAACGCTTCATAGTGCGGTGCTTGAGGCGCGCCACCTAGCCTAATATTTCAAAGAACATGCTAGTGTTAGATTGCCTTAATGTGAACGGTGGCCTGATTTCCTATTAGTATGCGAGCTTGAGGAAATTAACCTACCGATGAAATAATAATAAAATCTACTTCACAAGGGGTGTGTGTGAGAGAGAGACAGCCAGCCAGCCAGAGACCGCGAGGGTGAGGGATTTTCCAATTTGCAGGGCAAGGCACAACTCAACAAGGTGCACCGCATTTCCTGCACCGCACAGAGAACGCCTCTGCTCCTACTTGGCCCACTGTAGCTACCAGCGGGGCAGATGGGCAAGACTACCTCGAAGTACTTCCCGGTCGTGGGGGGGGGTGCTCTTAAGACCTTAGGCAGCAGCCACGCACCCTAGAAAAAAGTAGGGTCCTCCCCACCCCAAGAAACTGGTTGGTGAAAGCCTCGTCTCGGGCGCGCGGAGGAATACACGGCCTTTTGAGTCTCACTCCACGTCTGCGCCTGCGCCGCGCGGCCAGCGTGGGCTCCTCCGCCGGCGCCGGGGTCGAAGGTCGCGGCGCGTGATTGGGCGGCGGGACTGCACTCGGGCGGCGCGGAAATGACGCAGGGCGCGCCTGCGCGGGCGGCCCGGCTGCGCGGCGGCTACTGGGTGTCGCACGCCTGCCCTTCCGCGCCGCTCCCCGCCCCCGCCGCGTCCCCGCCCCCTCGGCCGCTCCGCTCCCTGGCGTGACTCGGCACTGAGCGCCCCGGAGAAGCGCCGCCGTCGCCGCCGCCGCCTTCTCCGTCCAGGCCTGGGCCTCCCTGCGCCTCCGCGGCCTCTCCCGCCGCTGCGCCTCTCGATTTCCAGCCGGTGGCGTCGCGGTCGCCCCGCCGGGCCCTGTGAGGATGGTGGGAGTGAAGCCGGTCGGCAGCGACCCGGATTTTCAGCCGGAGCTGAGCGGCGCGGGCTCCAGGCTCGCCGTGGTCAAGTTCACCATGCGAGGGTGAGGCCCGGCCCGGCCCGGCCCGGCCGCTCTGGGCGCCGGGGCTTTGCTTTCGGTCTTGGGGGATCCCCGCGCTGGCCCGGAACGTCCGGCGCGGGCCCCCGCCCGCTGCCGCCTTAGGCCGCGGCTCCGCGTGGGAGCGCCCGTCGGGCCCGCAGCCCGCGGCCGTGTCTGGGCGCGGAGCCGGGGCGGCCGGGTCTCCGGGCTAGGAGGGGCCGCCTGCCCCGTTTGGTCTGTCCCTGGGCTCTGCTCTCGGCCACCGCCCGCGCTGAGCCTTGCGGTCGGCGGATTCTCCCACAGCCGCCTCCAGCCGCCGGCGAGGCCAGTCCCCTTCTCTCCGCAGACCTAGCTGTCACTTGCATGTTCAAAACGCTAAAATCTTACCCAGACACGTCGATTCTCTTCCCCCCTTGCATTTCTGTAAAGCCTTTTGAAGGTTTAGGTGGGGTATCCAGCCAGTCTGCGTAGCCTCAGTCCTAGGCGCCACCAATGCAATTTAAATTAACTTAAATGTTGGGGTTTTTTTTTTTTTTAATGTTTTTAAGGCTTTTGTTACTAGTTTGATTAGAAACTTTGTAGCTTAGGCTCCCCGGTGTATGTAAGTGCATCTGAACTCACAAATGATTGTGGATATAAGCAATGGAGGCGGACAGGTGACCAGCCAGACATGTGAGTTTGAGCACAAAAGCTTCATTTTTTGTCTTGGTTTTTGACTTCAGGGGCGAGGGATCTTGAGAGATGTTCATTGTGTTTGGTAAATCTCAACAGAGGTCGCAGAGCTCGTGGGTCTTCCATTTTGGGTGTGCAGGTTCCTGTGTAAGAATGACGGGCTGGAAGAGGACATTCGGAGCCAAGAATTTAGCGAGTTTATTTATTGATCTCCCCTTGTCAATGCCGAGTTAGAAGAGTTGGAGTTCTCCACTTGACTTACCTTGACTCCCTGGTTTACACTTACTCTACCAACTTGAAAGCTCTAAGTATTTTTGACATATTTTGTCTAAGTAAGCATAAGAGTATTTTGAATGTCGGGGCAAAAAATGTCGTTTCCTGCATATAGTTAAGTAAATGTGGAGTATATAAGTGGTGCCATTAGTATTAGATCATTTAAGGGGATGGAGCGATACCAGTGTAGATGAACCAAGGTTAGGACTTTTTTTTGGTTCATATCATATGGAATTAAAAAGGGGTAATACATTCTATAGGGTGTTAATAGAGAACCCATTTGAAGTGAGTAGGTCCCACAGATGCTCAGTAGCGTGGGGTAAAGGTTGCATATGTAAAGGCATGTCTAAAAGAATGTCAAAATTCTGTGTGTCTTCCCAGCTTCAGCACATTTTGTGGTGTCTGTGTTCTTAATATGGACAGATATCTGTACATTTGTTAAGTACTTAGGCCAGAGTTCGAAAAGGGAAGATATGATTTTGACGAATCTAGTTTTTTTGAATCACTTTTCTAGTTCTTGTCTGTGGGAGTATTCTTTAGTCACTCAAACATGTACTATTTTCCTTCCTTACGGTAGCAGAGAGGTGGAGAGAGAGAGAATAGAATACCAAATAGTTTATTAATTGAAATGAGAAAAATGAGGTAAACACTTCCACTAGCCATGTGGTGTCATTTCACCAGAAACATAACTTCACATGTTGATTAGTAAAGTTCTGTTATTACCTTTAAATAATTACTTTTTGTAAAAAAGGATATTTTGATGGAGTGAAAATTTTTTTCTTAGTAAAATCAGAGCAAGTAAATGACATGCTTGAATAAATCTTTAAAAAAAATGAATTTGGAAAAGCTTTAAGTTGAAAAACACTTTTAGGTAACATTTATAAATCTGATAAGATTATATTGACCTTTAAAATTCCTTTGACATTTAGCCATTAACCCATTCTTGCAAGAACTCTATGTCAGCGTGACCCACAGCTACATGAGTGGGCATCAGTATTACATCTACAAACTACTGTATCCATTAAAATCCTGTAAAAAAAAAGCCACCGAGATCAAAGTTAATCTTCCATTTTAGGCCAAGAATGTAGTTTCTTCAGTGTCTCTTTCTTCATTTCCTTTCCTATCCTACTTGAAGTCTTATTCCTTATTCTCTACTTTTGTGGCTTGTCCATTTGGCCTGTTAATTTTGCTAAAACACTAGCATTAAGAATTTCTAGTAGCTCCCTAGTTTATTTTTTTTTTTAATTTTAGTGAAATATCTGTAACATACAGTTTACCATTTTAACGATTTTCAAGTGTACAATTTAATGACATTAAGTACAGTCACAGCGTTTTGTAGTCATTTCCATTTTTCCTACAATTTTGTCATCATCTCAGACACAAACTCTACCCTTTAAATAAAAAATCCTCATGATTCCCCACCCCCAACCCTAGTAACTTCTCTTCTACTTTGTTTCTATGAATTTGCCTCTTCTTGATGTGTAATTGGAATCACGTAATAGGTGTCCTTTTGTTTCTGATTTATTTCAGTAAGCATGTTTTCAAGGCTCATCCATGTTGTAATGTATGTTAGATTTTTCTTCCTTGTTAGACTGAGTAATATTCCAATGTATTGTATGTATAGACCACATTTTGTTTATTCATCCATTAATAGACATTTGGGTTGTTTCACCTCTTGGCTATTGTAAACAGTACTGCTATGAACGTTGGTACACAGGGATCTCTCTGAATATCTGCTTTTAGTAGTTTTGGATATTTACCTAGCAGTGGAACTCCTGGATTATCAATTCTATATTTAAGCTTTTGAGAAACTACCAAACTATTTTCTGCAGGGAATGTACCATTTTGCATTCCCACAAGTAGTGTGTGTGAGTTCCTGTTTCTCCACATACTTGCCAACATTTTTAATTTTTACTGATAGACGTTCTAATAGATTGTGAAGTAGTTTCTGATGGTTTTGGTTTGCATTTCCTAAATGAGTAAAGATGTGGAACATTTTTGTCTCTGCTTACTGGCCACTTTGGAACTTTGTTTTGCCCATTTTTGAATTGGATTGGTTGGATTTTTGTTGTTGCATTAAAGGAGTTCTTGATATATTTTTGATATTAATCCCTTATCAGATACAACGCAGATTTGAGCTACAAGTGTTCACTTACTACATGGATTTTTTTCAGTCAGTGCAGTTGGTCCTCCATATCTATGGGTTTTGTATTCATAGATTCAACCACCCTTGGATGCCCTGGCTTTCTTAGGAGACCTGAAACCAATCCCCCACTGATAACAAGAGGTGACTATAGTTAAACTTTGGGGACTCAAAAGGCCTACACAGATATTTTAAAGTGGGGCGAGGTCTTCTAACCTTCACATTCAATATAATTTACATATATTTCCCCCTATTGCTTAGCTTTTCATTTTCTGATAGTGCCATTTGATTGTAAAAGTTTAAAATTTTCGATGGAGTCCAGTTCAATTTATTTGTTTTCTTTTGCTAGCTGTACTTTTGGTGTCATGTCCCAGAAGTCATTGCCAATCCCAAAGTCATGAAGATTTTCCTGTGTTTTCATCTAAGAATTTTATAGTTTTGTTAGGGGAAAAGGATGTCCTGAACAAACTCCAGAAATAGGTTTTATGGCCCCACCCCCACTCTAGTTTTAGCTCTTTAGGAGTTTTGACCCAGTGGGGGCTAACATTTGTATATGACTTAAAATAATGGTTCAGTTTAATTCTTTTGCATGTGGGTATTTAATTTTCCTGGCACCTTTGTTGAAAAATCTCTTCCCCAGTGAATGGTCTTGGTATCCTCCTGTGTGTGTGTGTGTATTTTTTTTTTTTAAGTAATTAATATAGTCATCATTTTATATTATCTAGTTTATGGAAGGTACCTGTTTAAACACTTACTTGTGAATTGTAGACCACAAGCAATTTGAAAACTGGTATCTCCAAATTATTACTTAAATATATGCAGATACGGGGGTCTCCTTGGTGACGCAAAGGGTTAAATCGCAACCTATGAAACTGTCCGCAGTCTCTGCAGCGCGGGTTTGATCCCCAGACAGCTAGGGAGCCACCCACATGGCGAAGCAGACCTTTCCTTTACTCTCCTTCTGCTCCCCTCAGCAGTGTACTTCAATCAATCTGTCTGTTCTGTTCCCCACACTGTCTCTGGTGAATGCTCTCACCCCTTGCATCACTGGCCTGTACCCTAGCTCTTGTGTGCATAAACAAATCTTTAAAAAAAAAAAAAACAAAAGAATTACAATCCAGATGATGCACATTGGGAAGTGTCATCCTTCAAACAGCAAAGGGGCTGAAATTTAATAAATAAATAAATATATGCAGATACATTTTAGTGATTATAAGGAATGCTGATTTTGTTGTCGTCATTGGTGGGTATACTGTAACTTGGTTGTACTATGTTAAAAAAAAATACACATTTCCCCCCCCTGTAAAACACAGTAGAAATGATTTTTAAGTTGAATTTGTCAATATATCACTTTTGTGTCCATGGAACACTTTTGTGTACCATTTACATATAAGAGCTGGGGTGTAGGCCAGAAGTGTGAGGGGTGGTCAGAGGATTCACCAGAGACAAAGTGGTAAGCAGAACAGGTAGATTGACTGAAATACACTGCTGATGGGAGCAGTGGGCGAGATAGGAGAGGTCTGCTGCACCATGTGGGGGGTCACCTCCCTGGTCAGGGATCAAAACTCGTGCTGCAGGGGCAGTGGATAGCTTCATGGTGCTGGGACTTACCCCTTGGGCCACCAGGGAGGCCTTACTCAGTTTTCTTAAAGCATGTCTTTGTAGTTGTTTAGTTATTGTTCTCATCCTAGAAGGGTATCAGTGTATATTAGCATATTGAGTTCTAAAGGTTATGGTGACTTGTCCAAATAATATTAAATAAATATAAAATTACATATTGCAAAATTGCTGATGATTAAAGGATAAATTGACTGTATCGAAAAGTTAGCAGACCCAGCAGTTCTTTAGAACCAGACAGATAATATTAATGTGTGAGATAAATAACTAAGTAGGACATGATTGGGCCCTAGAGAAC